GGGGGGGGGGGGGCGGTTTGCTTTCTATTTTCGTTTTTTCAAGGGATATAAATATTCGAGGTGTTTAAAAACAGAATAGCTTGATGAAATCGTAATGTCTTTTCTTTGATCTTTAACGGTCAGTATAAGATCGAACAATAAAACATGGCGTTTTAGTGGCTAGCCAGCTTCAAGTATAACAGCAATAATTAATTCTTGGGAATTAAATAGGTCGCAGTATTATGCAGCGTTTAGTTTATTTATAATTGACCTTCTCTATTTACCTTTATTTTCCACCCATTTTTGCCTTTCTAATGTAGACTTGCTATAATTATGTAACCCGTGAAATGAACTATATTTTGAATCAGGTGGAGATGCATTTCAAGAAAATTGAAATGTTGGTTTGAATTACTAAAACACCAACGGAAAAACGTTTTAATTCTCTTTTTATTACCATCTCGCCAAATATGTAGCTTTAGTTCGGAAAATAATGGAATGGGTTTCTTTCCATTCTCTTCGACGTCGTAACTGAAATGCAATAACCCTTTCTACATTTTTAAAGACCTTTTTATTCCACTGGTCACTAAAGGGTTTACAATTCGTCGTAACAAGTAATTTTTTCGGGAGCAACTTCGTCAATATGAGATAGACGCCTTTCGTAAATACTTTTTCAACTGTTTTCGAGTATCTATTGAATATCCATCAGATCTTCCGCTGTAATCTTGGGTGGCTGGTGCTGCTGCATGGATGAATTTTGAGCTGATTCGGTGGCCACTTCTCTTAAACGATGTCGTTGTCGTTAGAATATGAACCTACTCCAATCCGTCGGAACATTTTCTTCACCGCTTTACGGAATTCTCTTTTACGGATAGAATAGATAATCGGGTTGCATATTGCACTGAGGAAGTAAACGCACGTTGTGGAAAGAACTGCTTCGGCAGAAATATTGATTCCCGGGACGAACAGGTGACAAATACCTGTGACCCAGACGGGAAGAAAGCACACCAAAAATGCGGCGATGATAATGGATACATCGACAGCTACTTTGCGATCTCTTAGTCGTCTCGATACGATCTCTTGCTGTTGAGGGCTTTCAGCATCGACAGGGCCACCTACTTGGACTTCCATGGCATTTATCTGTCTTCGAGCCGTCTTATATACTGACGTTTTTAGAAATACGATGATCAGAAGTGGCACTAGAAGGGTCGCAACGGGGAAAACGACTTCTTTGGCTCTAATCGACTCACTCTGCACAGCCCGTTCCTGCTCACAGGAGAACACCTCTGGTTTGTAAACGTACTTTCCCCAACCAAGGATAGAAACTGGTATCACAGGGATTATCCAGATGAGAGCCAAGAACACCACCCTAGTGTTTGTAATGATGCTATTGTACGTCAAAGGCGACTTGACTATCGCTAGGTATCGATCATAAGACACTGTTACCAAGTGAAGAACCGTGTTGATATAGAAGTATCTTGTAAAGGATGTGTTAAGATAGCACATTGTTTGACCATATAACCAATGTTCTTGTGCTATGCTTTCAATGCGGAATAAGTTTACGAGGACTAACAGCAGAAAGTCTGATAAAGCGAGACTTGCCAGTAAAATATATCGCATCACATGAAATCTTGTTTCGAGGATGATCGTCGCTATGACCAATAAATTACCAGGAAGACCGATCACATCGTAGATTGCGTGGAACGCTGCTATCACTTGAGGAAAGACCATGGCTGAAATTTCTCATAACTAATTTACTAAGCTTTAATATTATAGCTAAATTAACAAAAATGGGATTATTTTCTAAATGTACTATGTGCTTTACAGCTGACTTGCATCTCATTAACATTTTGGGCAAAAACTTGTGAGGTCATATCATTTCCTTCGTTCTTACTGCGAACGGAAATTTGGTTTCATACAGTAACAAAAACACAGGCAGGGACATTGAAAGAAATCTTTTTAGTTATTCAGATAATAATTTCTTCATGACGTTCACTTTATAAAGATATCATGAGAATGAAACAGGCAATGTATGTTACATTTAATAAAGTTTCGGATATTCTCCTTCCTTTTTAGCTTCGTTTTTGCTTTAATTTTTTGCTCGATTTGATTGGGTGGAAATCAAAAGAAGAAACTATGCCTTGATCCTTTTAAATCATCAGTTGTTTGTGAAATCATTTAACAGCGAGTAAAATATTAATGTTCTTGGGAATCAAATGTCTTTTATAATATGCGGCCTCCTTAGAACTTTCTGTCACCCGATTACCTAAGCCGTGAAATTATACTTGGAAAGAAATTTCAACTCCATTTTTCGTACGTCTTTTGTCAAATAATTTATATCTTGAAAACATAAATTATAAAGGAAGCATCAAGCCTCAGTTTTGCTTGTTTATATGTTAACTAACAAAAATAATTGACTGTGATGTCCCAACGAATAGTAAGGTGACCGAATTAATATATTAATTAAGACTCGGCTAAAATGTTATTAAAACATAACCTATAGTTTGAGAGCTATTTTTTTCAAAACTATGAAAAATAAAAAGATAGAGAGAAGGGAACCAAAAACAATGTTTTACCTCGTCAACTCCACTGTTGATCAAGGAGAGGATTCCATGGACTCTTATGGAACCTGAATAAGCTATCCAAAAGCTTCCTAGGGTTTTCTCTTCCTTCCACCAACTAATTAAAGGTACCATATTTCTACGTACACGGGCGCCTGTATACCCGCTACAGGTTTTGTCTTAGTATTGTGTAGAAGTCAGCAGCCCGCGGGGGGTTGGGGGGGGGAGAGAATCCCATATGATACGGGCGGGGATGCTCGTCGTCTCGCTTAGGGGGTGTAAATTTTAGATTTTGGTCTCGCTTAGGGTGTTCTGGGCAAAACACCATTATATTTAACCGTACAGGTCTCTTTTGGGGTTGCGTTCGAAGAAATATTTAAAACCTAAAAATTTTGAATTCGTTTTATTTACTCGATTCATGAAATCACAGTTTAAAATGATTGCTTTTAGGGGGTCAAAAAAAGGTTGGGCCACGCCCAGATTGGTCTCGTTTGTTGGTTTAATTCAAAATTTCCGACTGCCGACGCGCCTTTCATATGGTCAGTACCCCAAAATAGGCTGTGGGATCGCCTACCGTTAGCTGACGACTTCTCAAATTAACAAGAAAAATCTTACAAACAGGCCCCACAAAATGAAAACAGGGAGGTCCCCTCATCGCCTCTCCCCTGAGACCTTTCTTTTGATAGCCTGGTGGGAAAACCAGTTCTCAAGAGGTTAAAAGAATTGTCGATAAAAAGCCACAGATGAAAGCAAAATTAACAGGATTCGATTACTAAATTTACCAGTAAACGCGGCCTCCAATAAAACGCCGAAGACGAAACAAAATTTCCAATCAACGCCACCCTCTAATAAACGCCGGAAACCAATCAGAAGAATGCGGTATTTATCTAAACATTATTAGAAAAATGTACTCTACAGTTCTGTAATCTACCAATAACACCAAGTCAGCAGTTTTATTTTCCATCGGTGTTTGACTATTTTTGAGTGTATCACGTGACATTTTTCCAACATTTTCCCTATAATTCGCTACTTTATTGCTGGTTTGCAGTGTCACGCCATTCAAAATAGTTCAAAATAAAAATCAAAACCGTTCAATAGATAAAGTCCAGAATCTGGGAAATAAAAGGAGGTACATATACAAAGACCCTCGCCAAGGTTGTCAAGTGACCAGAAGAGTACCATTGATATTTGTCAACTATATTGATGAATTAAGTAGCTAATAGGTTTACCTATTTTCAGACTTCAAACACGGTTTATAAAAGGCTTTATTTCATACCATTACAGCTAAATAAGGAAGAAAAATCACCGACTGTTGTGAAGTTTATAACCCGTCTGATCAAATGTCAATCGTGATGGCTGTTTAGAAGTGGATGATTCCACTTCATAGCTGGTGAAAAATCAGGTTTCAAAACAAACTCCTCTTTATAGTGTTTCCTATCGTCTGCGCTCCTTTGCTAACACTTATTAATCAGTAATTTATTGTTATTTTACTAGGTAAAGACATGCAGAGAGTCGAAATATCTTTTGTAGTCTTTTGGGGGAAAAGGATGATAAACGAAGCGAGGAACTAGCAGCTACATAATGACAATAGGGTTGCACATGACATTTAAAGAAAGCGCTAACCATTTTTTAATACACACCACCCTTCCTATTTTGCTCAGATATAATTACAAAAAAAAAAATTCAAGAACCAAACGAAAACTTTGAGTAAACTAGAAAAAAATTGGAACGATTGTTCCAACCGAGGTTATAGGTTGGGGAGGAGGTGGAGGTGGAGGCCGCGGCGGTGGAGGTCCTCCTCCTCCTGGGCCCTCGCGTCCCCTTCCTCTGCCCCGTCCACCGCGTCCGCGCCTGCCACGTCTACTACGTCTACCTCTTCTGCGACGTCCGCCACGCCTGCCACGCCTGCCACGCCTTCCTCGTCCACCTCTTCTGCCACGTCTTTGCCGTCCGCCTCGTGTTCGCGGTCTGCCTCGTCTCCCCCCTCTGCGCCGTCTGCCACGTCTGTCCCTTCGTCCTCTTCTACCACGTCGCTGCGGATCGTCGACTTTATTCGTATTCAGTCGTATCACTGCAAACAGATGTGCGCATTACTCGGTGTTAAACTTAGAAAAAACTTGAAAACCTAAGAAAATTTCAAGAATGTTTATCGTGCTATTAACAATCAAAGTAAATATCAGGACAGGTGCGAACAAGCCTTAAGGTTCAAAGACTTAAACCGTTGTTGCTTGAGGTTAGTTTCCCACTCCTGATTGGCTTTTCCCTTGCAACGTGATAACATTCCAGAATGATTATAGCGCATGTTCGTAACTTTCTGATTTTCACATCAAGTACCTAATGTTCATCAAATTGTACTCATATGCATGGTCCACATCCTGTTGACACATGCATGGCTTAGTTATCAAAACACAATTGAATTGATTACGTATATACTACTCATTGAACTCCAAAAATAGGCTTCTGACGAGTCGCAAAGTCGCAGCTATTGGCAAATTACACATTCAAGTCACTTCGGTCTCTGGTAGACTACAAAAGGAGTATGCGACATATAATGACTAGAAAATGATCGTTCCACCCAACATCATTTCAGAAATAAAAAAACTATTCCCAATAAATAATAATGGGCGTAAACTACTTTAAAAAAAGGGGAACCTGCTTTTTCGATCTGAGGGATAAACAGGTCAGACACCTTGTCAGAATTGATCTAATTTTTTTTTCTGCTAAGTTATTTACGTTGACTAAAATTACTCAATTATCTCAAACTGTAATGGCGTTAAAATACCTTTGCGGTCAGCGTTTGCCAGCTCTAATGTTTTTTCGGTTATTGCTGGTTCCTCAGGCGAGTCATCATCATCTTCGCTAACATTGCTCAGTTGTTTGGAAACATCATGACCGTCCTCTTCATCGTCAATTGCGTATTCTTCATCCATAAGGCGGTCTTCATCATCGTCGTATTCATTATTTTCTTCATCGGCATGTTCATCGTCAACACCATTATCACCTTCATCTTCTTCTTCATCGACATAATCTTCACCTTCTTTCTCATTCCATTCATCATCTTCGTCATCATCAGCACCTTCATTTTCTTTATCTACATCTTCGTCGTCGCCATCATTTGCAAATTCTTCTTCAGTTTCTTCGTCTTCGATTACTAAATTTACCAGTAAACGCGGCCTCCAATAAAACGCCGAAGACGAAACAAAATTTCCAATCAACGCCACCCTCTAATAAACGCCGGAAACCAATCAGAAGAATGCGGTATTTATCTAAACATTATTAGAAAAATGTACTCTACAGTTCTGTAATCTACCAATAACACCAAGTCAGCAGTTTTATTTTCCATCGGTGTTTGACTATTTTTGAGTGTATCACGTGACATTTTTCCAACATTTTCCCTATAATTCGCTACTTTATTGCTGGTTTGCAGTGTCACGCCATTCAAAATAGTTCAAAATAAAAATCAAAACCGTTCAATAGATAAAGTCCAGAATCTGGGAAATAAAAGGAGGTACATATACAAAGACCCTCGCCAAGGTTGTCAAGTGACCAGAAGAGTACCATTGATATTTGTCAACTATATTGATGAATTAAGGAGCTAATAGGTTTACCTATTTTCAGACTTCAAACACGGTTTATAAAAGGCTTTATTTCATACCATTACAGCTAAATAAGGAAGAAAAATCACCGACTGTTGTGAAGTTTATAACCCGTCTGATCAAATGTCAATCGTGATGGCTGTTTAGAAGTGGATGATTCCACTTCATAGCTGGTGAAAAATCAGGTTTCAAAACAAACTCCTCTTTATAGTGTTTCCTATCGTCTGCGCTCCTTTGCTAACACTTATTAATCAGTAATTTATTGTTATTTTACTAGGTAAAGACATGCAGAGAGTCGAAATATCTCTTGTAGTCTTTTGGGGGAAAAGGATGCTAAACGAAGCGAGGAACTAGCAGCTACATAATGACAATAGGGTTGCACATGACATTTAAAGAAAGCGCTAACCATTTTTGAATACACACCACCCTTCCTATTTTGCTCAGATATAATTACAAAAAAAAAAATTCAAGAACCAAACGAAAACTTTGAGTAAACTAGAAAAAAATTGGAACGATTGTTCCAACCGAGGTTATAGGTTGGGGAGGAGGTGGAGGTGGAGGCCGCGGCGGTGGAGGTCCTCCTCCTCCTGGGCCCTCGCGTCCCCTTCCTCTGCCCCGTCCACCGCGTCCGCGCCTGCCACGTCTACCACGTCTACCTCTTCTGCGACGTCCGCCACGCCTGCCACGCCTGCCACGCCTTCCTCGTCCACCTCTTCTGCCACGTCCTTGCCGTCCGCCTCGTCTTCGCGGTCTGCCTCGTCTCCCCCCTCTGCGCCGTCTGCCACGTCTGACCCTTCGTCCTCTTCTACCACGTCGCTGCGGATCGTCGACTTCATTCGTATTCAGTCGTATCACTGCAAACAGATGTGCGCCTTAGTCGGTGTCAAACTTAGAAAACAATTGAAAACCTGAGAAAATTTCAAGAATGTTTATCGTGCTATGACCAATTAAAGTAAATATCAGGACAAGTGCAAACAAGCCTTAAGGTTCAAAAACTTATACCGTTGCTGCTTGAGGTTAGTTTCCCACTCCTGATTGGCTTTTCCCTTGCAGCGCGATAACATTCCAGAATTAATTATGGTGCATGTTCGTAACTTTCTGATTTTCACGTTAAGTACCTAATGTTCATCAAATTGAACTCATATGCATGGTCCACATCCTGTTGACACATGCATGACTTAGATATCAAAACACAATTGAATTGATTACTTCTCATTGAACTCCAAAAATAGGCTTCTGAAGAGTCGCAAAGTCGCAGCTATTGGCAAATTACACATTCAAGTCACTTCGGTTTCTGGTAGACTACAAAAGGAGTATGCAACTTATAATGACTAGAAAATGATCGTTCCACCCAACATCATTTCAGAAATAAAAAAAACTATTCCCAATAAATAATAATGGCCGTTTACTACTTTAAAAAAGGGGAAGCTGCTTTTTCGATCTGAGGGATAAACAGGTCAGACACCTGGTCAGAATTGATCCAATTTTTTTTCTGCTAAGTTATTTACGTTGACTAAAATTACTCAATTATCTCAAACTGTAGTGGCGTTAAAATACCTTTGCGGTCAGCGTTTGCCAACTTTAATGTTTTTTCGGTTATTGCTGGTTCCTCAGGCGAGTCATCATCATCTTCGCTAACATTGCTCAGTTGTTTGGAAACATCATGGCCGTCCTCTTCATCGTCAATTGCGTATTCTTCATCCATAAGGCCGTCTTCATCATCGTCGTATTCATTATTTTCTTCATCTGCATGTTCATCGTCAACACCATTATCACCTTCATCTTCGTCTTCATCGACATAATCTTCACCTTCTTTCTCATTCCATTCATCATCTTCGTCATCATCAGCACCTTCATTTTCTTTATCTACATCTTCGTCGTCGCCATCATTTGCAAATTCTTCTTCAGTTTCTTCGTCAAAGTGTTCAAAATCTTCTTCGCCTTCGTTTTCTTCTTCCTGAGCCCATTCACCTTCATCTTCATCATCGTCATTATTGTCGCCTTTCACCGGATTGTCACCTTCTCCAGTTAAAGCACCATTTCCAAAAGTCTTGGTTTCTTCAGCATGAAAATCTTTCAGCTTCAGTGCTGTTTTTTTAGGAACTGTAGCGCAACTGCAGATATTGAATAAGAACGTGGCACACAGAAAAGCATAAAAGCCGAAAAACAGCCGTGCCTTCATCTTGTTCTGACGCCCTCGGCGACCCGAGAGCATTTGGTTGTTTGCTTGCAATAGCTCGCGTATTTATATAATTTAAAGACGACAATATAAACCTTGAAAAGTTTTGACAAACAACAAGTCTTAATATTAGGATTCTTACCTGGAGGTGAAGAGTCTTTTTCTAAATTTGTAAATATTAATTTCCTTTTTGGTCCCATGAGGTCAAAAATATTCCTTAACATAAGTTCTAATTCTATACTTTCTATTTATACATGGACTTTAGTTTCTGAAACATTACGGAGACAATAACGTGAGATTCTGATCTCTAAAAGTGTGTTTAAAAGGCTTCAAAAAACAGTGTAACTGATTTAAAGAACACGGCCTTTGATCTCCACAATACTTTAGACCGTCTTTGATGTTTGGCGTGCACATTTCACAAAGGCTATAAATAAGAAAAACTGGTTAAGATCAGTTTTGTTCTAGTTAAAACAATACTTATCATGAAGCCCGAACGCTATTTAAATATGCAAGCTTTCAGACTGGAAAAAAGTAATATTACAACCAGGCGATGCTGTAGGGTGAAAAATATGTTGAAACAAGTAAACCAGAAAAGAACTGAACTTATGTTCATGTTTGAGTTTTTTTTGCCAGCACATAACATTTTCATGGAGGATAAAACCTACTGAAGCTTTCATTATTTTTCCACACAATGTTGTGCATAGCCCACTCAAGATAGTAATAATTAATAGAGTGACTCTCAAGTCCTTTGGCTAATGATATTGTGAAAAAATACGGTACTTGACAGCAATTGCAATTTGGAGATAGGTAAATAAACCAATACTTGTTTTAGTGCTGGATTCAGAAAAATGTACTCTACAGTTCTGTAATCTACTAATAACACCAAGTCAGCAGTTTTATTTTTCATCGGTGTTTGACTGTTTTTGAGTGTATCACGTGACACTTTTCCAACATTTTTCCCTATAATTCGCTACTTTATTGCTGGTTTGCAGTGTCACGCCATTCAAAATAGATCTAAATAAAAATCAAAACCGTTCAATAGATAAAGTCCAGAATCTGGGAAATGAAAGGAGGTACATATACAAAGACTGTCGCCAAGATTTAGGTCAGAGGAATATTTCGCATACGAGATATTCGAAGAAGTGTTTCACCCAAATTTATAAAGATTTCTATGGAGATGCCATGCTGGTGCTCACCTAGATGAGCACCAACATGAAAGACGGAAACCAACAGAAACATCTGTTACCGAATTTTGCTACAATTCGTGAATTTATTCTTCGAGAAACTCGTAAACATTAAAGTAATACTTTTTCTAATACATGAACTGTTTAGATAGCAAAATTTCCTGAAATAAGTCATTTTTTTAATCTACATGAAAGCTCTCTTGGCCGTCATGTAAATGCAGCGTCACGTAACAGCTTAGAAATTCAAGGGTACTCTATCAAAAAACCAAGAACCCTTTTGAAGCGAAAATTTGTATGAAAATTAGTTTTCAGCTAGCTGTTCTAATACATCTTGAAAGTAAAATCTCGGTAGGATCGATAGTTTTTTAGTTTGAATTTTAGTGACGTCATGTGAAAATCAACAACAGGAAACTAGGCCGCGCTATTAAACTTTTGCAAAAACTTCTGGGACTGTTAGGGCCAATAGCTGACCAGCGCGTCACCAGTAACGATACCAGAAGTCTTTGCGAAAACTAACTCGACTCAGATTCCTCCTCGTTTCTTCGTTTATTATATGACGAATTCCAATGCACTGCGCATGCCTGAACTTAGGTCTTTACCTAGTCGTTCGAAGGCCGATTAACGCTAACCCGTGCTGGTTAAATTTTAATCAGGGTTCCTGTTTCTTTCGTTCAAAAGCATCTTCCCTGTCAATTTTGTCCAGTCATTTAAAGCGCCCAGGCATCAGATAGATCATGGACAACGACCAACCACAGAGCGCGTAGCATTCACAACATTGTATAAAAAATATAATAAATAAATAAATAAAGTTTCCTTGTCTTATTGATGTTAAATATGCATTATCTGTAAGCTGTTGGCAGTAATTGACAGGAAAATTTAAAGCCATCACTTATTCGCAAATAAAACGAACATGAGGAAAGACAACAAAGACCTGTTTGTGTTGACAGTGTGTAGGAAAGGAATGCATTTAACCAGTTTATTTTAACTAGAAAATGTATTTTTGAAGAGTCAAATATCCTGCGTTGAATATCACTCATATTTTGTTCCTGTTTTCTTCCGTTTAGGATATCGACAATATACGTGAAAGTAGCCTGATTGTTTCCTCAGGTTTTGTGATATGTGGTTAAGTCTTATTTTGACATATCAAACAAATTATCTGCGATGATCCATCCGCTCGCCATCTGATTTAGTCTTACGCACGTTAAATACTCATTAAAATCTCTAGGAATCATTTAATCTTATAAACAAAATTTAAGACCTTAATTTTACGCTTCGCTTGGTCGGAAGATATTCTAATAACAACAAAGTGAAATGTGACAACCAGCTATTTTGCTAGGTTCTACCTTGCTACTATGTACTATAGGACATTAGAGCTATGATTTAGTCTACACTGAGTCTATGATTTTACTGAATGTAAAAATTAAAAAATAATAATAATAAAAAAAACAATTTAAGGGTAAAGATATGTGGATAGAGGAGAAAACAGTATTATTAGCACAAATACACAAAAAAAATAGAATAATAGATAAAAATAGATGTGATGTTGGTGTATTTTGCTGTGAGTTTCTAGACCGAGTAATTTTTCAAGAAAGTGATAGAGTTACAGCCTGCAGTGGCACTTCTTTCTTTTCTGCCGGATTAAAGGCCTTTCAACTCGGGAACGTGTTTCGTTTGTTTCCAAGATACATTTACCGTTTTCGAGTTAAACTTTGTGACAGAAAACGAGGGGTTTTTCCCGGCGGATGAGTGCCCAGGCTAAGTAACTTGGAAATTTGCAGCGCAGAAGGGTGACTGCGAGCCATGTACTTTCTCCTCAGCCGTGTAAGATCGCTATAATAACAATACCGACACTTTGTTTCACCACGATTTACATCTCCGACAAAGTTCTGTGAGACGCAAGACAATGCTTTTTTTCAAAGAGTAGAAAAAGGAAATATGGAAACCTCCTCCTCCTCCTCCTTTCTCTTCTTCTTTTATTTTTTGCCAAATTATCAGGATTTGTATGAAAAACACCAGCGATTTTTTTTCACTGATGCATACAGTATTTTTTCATTATTCAAACGGCACCATGAAATCCCACTGCAAAAGAATTCAAAACCTAACATTTGGCAGCTCGCTGTTTCTTAAATGGTCATTCAATCGTCGGCATAATTTTGGCATGAGATTGGTCACGTGACTCTGAACTGTACAGGGCCTATTACGGCCATGTCAAGTGACCAGAAGAGTACCATTGATATTCGTCAACTATATTGATGAATAGGAGCTAATAGGTTTACCTATTTTTAGACCGGCTTCAATCACGGCTTATAAAAGGCTTTCTTTCATACCATAACAGCTAAGGAAAAAAATCACGGACTGTTGTGAAGTTTATAACCAGTGTAATCAAATGTCAATCACGATGGCTGTTTAGAAGTGGATGGTTCCACTTCATAGCTGGTGAAAAATAAGGTTTCAAAACAAACTCCTCGTTATGGTCTTTCGTATCGTTTAGGTACTGCATGTCTTTACTAGGTAAAGACATGCAGCGAGTAGACATACCTTTTGTTGTCTTTTGGGGGATCGGAAAAGCACGATGAGCGAAGCGAGGAACTAGTAGCTATATAATGATAAAAGGGTTGGACATGATATTCAAAGAAAGCGCTAACCATTTTTGATTATACACACCACTCTTTCAGAAAGTTACTACAAAATGAGAATATTTTGCTCAGAAATAATAACAAAAAGAAAAAATTCAAGAACCAAACGAAAACTTAGAGTAAACTAGAAAATAACAAGCTATAACATGAATCCAGCACTAAATCAAGTATTGGTCTATTTACCTATCTCCACATTGCAATTGCTAAGTACCGTATTTTTTAACAATATCATTAGGACTTGACATGCCTATTAATTACTACTATCTTGAGTGGGCTATGTACAACATTGTGTGGAAAAATAATGAAACCTTCTGAAGGTTTTATCCTCTATGAAAATGTTATGTGGCAAGATAAACATGTTTCTTTTCTAGTTTACTTGTTTCAACATATTTTTCCCCCTAAAGCATCCCCTGGTTGTAAATTTCTTTCTTCCAGTCTGAAAGCTTGCATATTTAAAAGGCACTCGTGCTCCATGATAAGTATTGTTTAAACTACAACGAAAAGTGATCTCAACGAGTTTTTCTTATGTATAGCCTGTGTGAAATGTGCACGCCGAACATCAGTGAAGGGCTTAAGTATTGTGGAGATCAAAGGCCGTGTTCCTTAAATCAATTACACTGTTTTTTGAAGCCTTTTAAACACACTTTTGAGAGATTAGAACTTATGTTGAGAAGTATTTTTGACCTCATGGGACCAAAAAGGAAATTAATATTTACAAATTTAGAAAAAGACCTAATATCAAGACTTGTTGTTTATCAAAACTTTTCAAAGTTTA